GAAAAAAGCCTACAGGTGCTCAGGCATTGCTGTTCTGAGTGGCAGAAGAAAAAAAAATGGTTTGTCCTTACAATGATGCCCGTTCAGTTCCTTAGCCAAGCGCTGAGTCGCTGTTCTGCAGCACTTCAGTTCCCCGCAGCAGCTTCACTGAACGCTTCAGCTGCACAGTGCTAAGCAAAATGGCATTTTCCGACGAATATTTGAATTGTGTTTTCCTCCATTGGGGCTCAAGCATCTTTCCCCAGCACTCGCAGGTGTGCCCACAGTTAAAATGGCTGCTGGTACTCTGTTCCCACCTTCTCCGCCACACTCAGCGCTCTGCATTCGCATTCACTTCTGCTGCGAGTGCTAAGTTAGCAGTGCTGAGCGCTGACTTGCAGCACAGCGTTTAACGGCAGTTTGCTAACTTAGCACTCGCAGCGGCTAATCAACTGAACACGCCTCTGGGTTCTTCTGGCCTGTCAGTCATGGTGTTATATCATGGTGGGTAAGAAAGAGCAGGGGACTTCTGATCATTCCATTAAATTTAGCCATGTTAGCGGGCGGCACAAATGGGGAGTCCGACATAGTCCAGTCCTCCTGCTACAGCCGGTGGAATTACATCACTGCTACAGTGGTGGATGTTACAAGACTGGTGCCCCAGGGAAGGAGATGGCACAGTGGTCACCAGTTCTACAAACAGCAAATATGGGACACTTCCTTAAGAAGAACTTTATCCACCAATTTATTGTCTTGAAAAAAAGGAACTTTTAAGTAGGGATGCACTGACATCGTTTTTTTGGTATCAAGCACGAGTACCGTTATTTATCTTTCGGTATGCGCCGATATCGGTACTTCCACTAGCATGGAGCTGGCCGGTGTAACATTACCCACCACCCGGTTTCTTGACTGCCCGGGAAGCTGGTTCCATGCTGTTTGGCCTGGAAGCCGGCATCCCAGCCAATCAGCATCGAGCCCAGTTGCCATGGAATACTCCATCCTCAGTGCCCACCTGAGGAAGTGGATTGCATGAGGGAGACCAGCGGATATATTGCCAGTTTAAAGGTCAGCCTGCAGATATAGAGGCTACTACTGGGAGGGCCCACATAGATCCAGACATACGCATTCAGCTTCCAGGCTGTCAAACCTGGGCATGTGCAGTGAATCTCTATGATGTGTTCCCAGACGCAAGGATGGGAGATTCCACCCACCAACACCAGGGAACAGCTGATAGGTTGACATCTGACACACCTCCCTCCTGACCCACACAATGGCTGTTTGGCTGTTTTGACGGCTGTTTGGCTTGCTCAATGCGGATTGGCCGGGAAACAGCATGGAACCGGCTTCCCGGCCTATCAGGAGGCGGGTCATTTCCCACCGCCCGTCTTTCCGATTGGCCAGGAAGCCGGCTCGATGTTCCCTCATGGCACTGCCAGTCAGGGGAAATCTCCCTCTGACCGGAAGTTCCATATCGGGGGTAAGTATCAGAGCAAATACTCGCCCAAATACTCGATATCGGCACTGATATCGATACCAGTATTGGTGCATCCCTACTTTTAAGGCATGCCTCTTGTCAAGGTTGCCAGTGTGCCTATTTCAGCTCTCAACTGAACTTTCAAGCCCTGAAATGGCTGGTGCCATGGTGCAGCACCATGGCAACTGCAATCCAAATATAGTTGCATGGCTGTAAGGGATAGAAAGTTGTTGTTTCGCTTTACTTACACTCTTATTATGCAGGTTCCTGGCAGCGATTTTACAGTGGCTACATCATTGGATCACAAAAGACGACCATATTTGTTGAAGGTAAAATATGTCAAATCTATAATTACTGGACGGAATTCAGCTTTAAACATATCTTCAACATTCCACAGCGGTGCCATCTAGTGAAGGAAAAAATGTAATGCAACTAAATACCCGGTAAAAGCTGTTGTGTATACAGGAGATGGATCCATGTTGTCTGGTGCCAGGTAATGCACACTACAAAGGCTCCCACAGAAAAAGCCTTCAATGTAGATGTAAACCCTCCTAACTCAATGATGTTTAGCTTGCTAAAACAGCGTGTATTATAGACAGTTTACATTTCTGTCAACAAAAACATCTTAACTGATCTCCTATAGCCTCTTTGTGGCTGACACACTCACACACACTCCAGCAATAGATACATGGCACTGCTTAATGGCAAGTTTCTTGATGGTGACAGCAGTAGATCATACCCATGTGATGCGTGTTGTAATTGTTGAAACCACCACTTGTAGTTTCCATTGGAAGCCCGTGTGACAGGGTGGCAGGGTGACAACCCAGCAGAGCACAATTAAGAGACAGTCACAGAGCGCTACAACCCTATAACAGAGTACTTACACAAGGACATTTATGGCAGGATCACCAAGTATTACTGTAATGACAGTCACAGATTTAATAAGATTGAAAAAGACTTTTGAACTTGCATTAAAATGGACCTTTCACCTAAAAAGCATAGTCTGCTTTTTGAATCTGCCCCTGCCGCCTCTTTAAAGAAACACTGAGTAAAAGTTTTTTTTTAAATTGCCTGTAGGGGAACATTTGAATAATATATTTACCATTCCACCAGCTTCTGCCCAAAGTGCATGGGTGAGGGTGACATAATCCTCCTTCTGGCAAGATCCAGGGCATATAGAGTAGCCCGAATCGTGCTGAAAAAACACTGCCAGCACAGTGCTGTAGCATCTTCTCTTGTGACTTGGAGGATTCACCATTCCCCCCGCCACCCCCTATGGAAGCTGGGGTAAAAGTAAATATAATATCAATCTTTTTCTTTTAAATTTGATCTAAATGTCTTGGCAAAGGGGAGTGGGAACACATTTAAAATGTGGACTTTGCATGAACACATTAAAGTTGAACTCCAACCTTACCTTCCATCTTGCAGAGTTTTACAGGCTCTTCATTTGCACTGAAATATCTCCCACTGTGCATGAGAAGTTGCAGCAAGTCACATATAACCCACCTCATTTCCTGGCTGCAGGACATCATCAAGCTCTTTTCTCCCCAGTCCTACTGTCCCTGGTCCACCCCTTTTATATTGGATTTCAGCTCTTATAATCATGAAGGCTCAGTATCACATGTGAGCCTTACCACAGCTATGTATAGCACTCTGCCATCCCCTACCACCAGCCATGAGCTGCCTGCATTGCATAGAGAATCACAAAGACCTAGTGATGTCATTGTGTCTAAAATCAGGTATGTAGTAAAAACAGAAAGATTTTATAAAAAGTCTAAGCCAACTTTAAAAAAAAAAAAGTAAATGCAGCAAGATTAACCTTATGATCAATGTGCAATTTCTACTTCTTTGCCTGGAAACCTGCAAAGCTGTGAACTGTGCACGGGCTCTAGCAATGATTTTACTAACTGTCAGGAGGTCTACAAGGGGGTGAATGAAGAAGCATCGCAGGCATGGGTTCTGTACATGTCCTGCAGCTGCGGTCCTGTGGGTGTAATGTAAAAGCTCTTCAGGTACCAGGTACTTACCTTACTGAAATGGGGCATTTGAGCACTGTTAGAAAAACTGACACAAGTTCAATATGTATAAATAATTTTATTTAATATTTCTGAGGTCAGTTTGTAGAAAAATCACATGATCTCTAGTTTCTATAAAGGAGGCACTTTCCCCATCTAAAAAATGCCAGAAATCATCTAGGTCAGGACAACTGATTATATACATTGTGAATAAATATGCAGATAGCGGTAGAACATCGGAGGTGATACAACTACCACCATAGGCAATACAGCTGCTATGGGGTCTGTGGATGTAATACTGAAAAACCTGAAAGAGTGTTGCTCTTTGGCATATCTGATCATTTCAAGATCTACAAAACATTATTTTAAGACTAAACATGGCTGTCTGGCAGGAGTACAGCTCTTCTTTACTCACCTCCATCTTGTGCTCATGAAAGAGGCTGCACGCTATATAATTTTAATGTCAATTCCAGATAATTCTTTTTAAGCTTCAGATAAGGATGAGGAAGGTGTAGAACCTCTGTCAGGTTTCCATTGCTGTCTATGTCCCTGTGGGGTGATTTCCCCTCATTTCTGTGCCAGTGAGGGACAGTTTTGGGAGACTACCAAATTGCTAATCAATGTTTTTTCGACCCAGTTTTTTCACCTATGTAGGGACACAGAGCAGATAATTCCTATTCAGAGGTCTTTTTTATCCACCTGCTTCAAAATTACATGGAGGTATCACTCTCATTCCAGCGCATCTTTCATTGTAGAGAACAACATTCGGAGAAGAAAAATATTATTTTCTGGCTTTCTTACAGGAGGTCACAAATAACAGCTCTAAGCAGGGATATCTTACATACAGAATCCCCAAAACACGTACAAAAAAGGCACAAAATGATTCATCCAACCCAAGCAGGTGGATTAAGTCCTAATACCACTAATATCTAAATTCCAAAATGTGTACAATACCACAGCAGTAGGCAAAAGTGAAGACATTTGATCACCAATTTGAAGAAAAAAAAAATTGCATAGATAAGTATTTGGAGTCTGAAAATAAATCCTGGCCATGACCTAATTCCACATGTAACTTGAACAGTTTGATGAATTTGTCAGTTAGCTGCTATGTGACTGGGCTAAACTAACACATAACGGAGAAATGGCCAAGTCTGTCCAAAGATTACAGAGATTCTGAAAAATCAAAAAAAAAATTTTTTATATGTAAAAAAAAAAACAAAAAACAAAAAAAAAAAAACGGCAGATTAATGGAAGACTGCAAGACCAGGAAGGCACCTGTAAAGGTCCAGAAAAGGTTATAACCCATAGCAGCCACTCAGATAGATACTCCTAGACTTCAAAAGACTGAATAGATGCTCCTGTTAAACACCACATTACTACCCCTGGCATCACTTCCATAAATAAGCACCAAGAAAAGACTTAACATGGCTCATACAGACAGTTCCCGGAGGAGTCTCTAATGCATTGTAAACAATGGTTTTCCTATGTGCACAATGTTCAAAAATTCTGTACGATATATTTTGCATAGAAGAACAAGAACCCCATGGTAAGTGCCTAGAACAGACTTTGAGTCCTGTACATCTTACCAGCTTCTTTACACAGGGCACATTAAAGCTCCATTTAGGTCGCTTGTCATTGTAACTACAAATTCCATAAAACCAGTGAAGTCTAAAGAAGACCCTTTAATTGGGTGGATGGAAGATCCTGCAGCACATTCAAGTACTGGGCTGATGTGGTGACCACTCCTGGCTGTCGAGGATCCCAGATGTGGAACCATAGCCCGATGGATAACTCTCAGACACCGGACCCCCCCTGACGTCACCAGAGCCGGGCGATCCGTAGCAACACCAACATAGTGATTTCAGAAGACGGGTTCTGATGACACGTGTGCATAAAACGAACATGATGCAGTTTGCTCCACCCTGGAAGCTATTTCCAATACCCTGTAAATGAGGAAAAATAGGAATGATTAGGACAAGGAACAATCATAGCAGTTTGCCCTGAGAGACGCATGTGGTGGTGATCTCTTTAGTTACTTTCAGTTAAAATTGGACTACATTACAACACTTTACTAAATATCCCCATTCTTGGTATTTCAGTATTCAAGTTTTTTATAATAAAACACTTGAGTGAATTTTGAAAGAAAAGCTGTTCCTATATAATACAGTATGTAGGATGCCCCTGCTGACCTGTCCTTGTGAAAAAGAGCTCATTGAGTGTGGCATTACTTATTCCTACGCTGAGCATGGCAGCATAGATATTACCTCTCCTTGAAAGTGCTTACTGCTTGGGAGTCCTGAATGTGTTCTGCATCCACTGCCAACAGAAGCTACAGGTCATAACATTATTCTGGAGCTGAAGTCAAAACCAACATTTTTCTTCCTATCCCTGAGTCCCAAGAAGAAGTGAGAGGAAATCCTCTCTTAGTTGCAACTGAAAAAGATCTCCCTATTTGGAGATATTCCCAGAGTTTCTTTTCTGGTGACAAGTGCAATGTTTTGGACTTCCCATCACTTTCCCAGTGGCAATGGTCACAGAGACAGTGATCCTCCCCAGTATGGACAAGACAGCAATAAAAATGTCAACACTTTCCCACTCTACCCAAAACTGGCTATAGATGCATTTGTAGTGCCTCTAACAATGATTTCTGGTACTGTTCTAATGTTTGCATTCTGCAAGTTACAGTGAAAGAATAGTTATTGTGTAGGCCATGTGTTAAAATCCAAACGGCGCTTGAAAGGATTATCAATTTAATTTGCCTGTTTCTGGGTTATACATAGTTAATGTTAATGGTTATGTTTCTGGGTTATGCATAGTTAATGTTAAGGCTCCGTGACAGGTTACACAGCGGGGAGGATTGCCTGCTGTGTAACTTGTTAGATGCCGATCTGAAATGGCCCCTGACCGCACGCCCCTGATGTGTATGGTTTATGCCATCCCGCTTTGTGTTTCACGTATAACGTTTTGTTTTAACAATAACCCTTTGAACATATGAAAACCTCTTACTGAATTATATTCAAGGAAGTACACTGTCTTGATTTAGAGTTCGCCATGCCTGTTCTAACAGTGTGCTCAAGAAGGGAGTAATAGATGACAATGGGATGGGTCCTGGCATCATTGTGGGAGCGATATTAATATTTAAATATGTAGATATATAGAAACAAGTAGAAGAGAGTCAGGAAACCTGAATTCTGCATAAACTATACATATGGATTATATAAACTGAACATACAATATATGTGCTGCATGGCCACTAAGACCCTGGGTGTCTTAACCAATTAGCTTGGATACTTCCACATAGTAAAGGACAGTGTCGACATTTTGTCTGCAGCTCTTCTAACAATAATGGGCAGCTTTACTGGCCAATAGGAAAGTGCAGAGGGCAAGAAAGGTCCGATAGCCTTTGACATTATTAGGAAATGTTGAAGCGGACCGATAATGGCACCTAAAGTTTTTAGGTGATTTTTTTTTTCTTGCGCTACATTCCAGGTCGTAATTAAAATGCTTTTAACCTTACTCAAAGACAGCCTACCTGCTAAGGTGATTTATTTATTTTTCTTGACAATTACATATTTGTTGTTCACTACCTAACTCCTAATAGTTGTCAGCAGCCTTAACTTATCAAGTGTCCTGAATCTGAGTCTTCCCAAATGTGGCTTCCTGGTAGTTTAGAATATTGCCGCTGTAAGTGAACTGCAGCCATGCCTACGTATAATGTAGCTTTAGAAGGAGGCTGCACAACACACAATGATGTGATAAAAGGCTTGTTATAGGACAAAAGGCAGCCGAAAAGCACCGTGAGAAGCTTGTTGGGATTTTATAACACTCAGATTATAGGTAAATGGAGCAGACTTTCTGATTTAAAAAGATATTTTTTAAAAGGTTAGTTCACCTTTTCACAAAAAAAAATGAAATGGTGAACTAACTCGCAACACCTCCCCCACTCTCCTCATCCCCGCTGCACTTACACTTATCTGCTTAGAGGACAACCTTCCACTGCCAATGCTAGCCGGTGTAATGGGTCACACACTTCAAAACTTCACTACAAACCCCAGGAGGCTGTGCAGCATCATAATGCTGGCAATAGCGAGCAGTCATTGGTCAGCATGGCTTCATGACCAATGATGCACTCTTTTTTTTCTTTCAGGATGCCGTCCCAGAAGAAAGAAGGCGCGCAAGAGATTCTCATAAGCAGATCAGTGCAGCAGCAACCAAGGAGGGGCGTTATGAATTAGTTCAGCTTTTTATTTTTTGTGCACTTGTAATATTAGTTCCAGGATTCATTATCCTGGTCACTCGGAGTTATAATTTACTATCGAGTAATAAAACCTCACTTACATGTAGTACAACAAGGATGGGGTTGTGCACTGCTGGAGAATCACAAAGAGTCAGGATGAAGCGGATGGTGCTCCAGATGCGGAGAAAGATGAAAATAACAGGGATGAAGACCAGCTTCTTGTCAGCTATAGTTTTGGGCTGGTACACAGGAGCAGCGGATAGGATTGGACGATATTCGGATAAAGCTCTATGCTGGAGAGAGAAAGTCACATAATTAATGACACATGTACATGAAGACACAAATCAGCCATAACATTGTGACCACCTGCCTAATATTCAGTAGGTCCCCCTTTTGCCACCAAAAAAGCCCTGACCCATCAAGGCATAGACCCCTCTAGACCTTTGAAGGTATGCTCTGGTATCTGGCACCAAGCCATCAGTAGCAAATCCTTTAAAGTGACACTAAATTCAGGAGTTAAATCTTAAAAATGCATTCAAGTACCTTTATTAACATAAATGTAGCTTATTTGTGCATCACTCGGCTGTAGACCCTCAAATCATCTCTGAATTATTGCGGACGCTGTCCTTTCTTCTGGAGACTCCAAGCTCTCTAGTGATGGACTACAATCTCAATACAAATTATTAAACTAAACGTGAGATTGTAGTCCATTATGGGAGTAAGCTTGAATCAGTGGCTACTTTACACTTCCGGTGGGGTTCCGGAAACCCTCATGGGCAGTACAGTGAATGGGTACAGACCTTATGCTGGCAGGACCACTGATATGCTATTATAGCCGTTGGCAGTGACTGAGACATCCTAACATCTGGTGCAAGAAGATGTTCCAGGAACTGGAGATTAAACATCACCTTCAACGTGACACTGTAGCTACAATTAGAAAATTGGAACCACAAGCCCCCAGTAAAAAGAGTTAACAGTTAACACATGCTGTGGTTCCTCTCATTAACCCTTCTGTCACTTCTGAGTCCTGTAGTAACAGTGTCAGGAGAAACCACAGCGCCTGGCGGGGTGACGCTGGTAGCTCATCCAGAGAGTGAAGACTTAACAAACCGCCTGAAATAGAAGTATTCAGCCTCTGTTTTTGAGCGCACTTGTGGTTTAATATGGCTTAGGTACTACCCTGCTCTGCCATTAAAAACCCCTTAATTACAGGATTCAGTAGCAACATGGGGGACATTAGACTACAGAGCTACCACCACTCTACACCAGAAGTGTAAAATACCAAAGATATGGACAGAAGCTGCAACGCAGGAACACAGAGGGGAGGCAGGACACATGGGCTGCTACAGAGGTGGTAGTATAGGAGCTCTTCTATTGCAGGGACCTGATGGACTGAATTTTGTAGAGACCTGACAGGGTCTCTTTAAACATGCAGGCTTTGCCAGATGTGGTGCACAGGGCAAATATAAAGCAAAGTGCAGTAACCAATAACAGGCCATCAGGAATAATTTTTTACTGATCTGAACATAGTAATACATAATATCAAAATTCTGGTTTACTCAAAAAGATGCATGTTATAAACAACATTAGGATTTGTTTTTTGAAGTTAACTTACTGAAAGAAAAAATTGCATTGCATTACTGTGCTTCATATATTGAGACTACAATGTACAAGTGAAGGCATTGAAAGGAACCAGTAAAGAGTACTATACCGCTCTGCCAATGTGCTTCTTTATATGGATGTACAGAAAAGGCAAGACCAGGTAAGCCAAGATCTCCCACACTTTCCCAGCCAACAGCATCCATGTAAGCCTGTCATCCGCCGCTATATCGATCCAGCACCAACCCACTGAAACGTAGGATGCATCATAGCCAATCTTCTGTAGGCACACTGCAGTCACTGTGATCACAAGAGGAACACCCCAGCTGTAAGAAATTAAAGTACAACTTTTATTATCACATCACTGTAATAATATATGCATGCAATCCCACTGATGGAATAAAAACCCTTCTAAAAACAAACCAGCGGTCTTATGATCGCAATTAAACGGTTTAACTTCCCCTTCAGAATGCCAGGGGGCTTCGTCCTACACTCATCATCTGCCTAGTGCTGTGATGACAGGATAGGCTCCGACCCAGTGCTGGGATGATAGGATAGGCTCCGACCCAGTGCTGGGATGATAGGATAGGCTCCGACCCAGTGCTGGGATGATAGGATAGGCTCCGACCCAGTGCTGGGATGATAGGATAGGCTCCGACCCAGTGCTGGGATGATAGGATAGGCTCCGACCCAGTGCTGGGATGATAGGATAGGCTCCGACCCAGTGCTGAAGCGGTCTTATGATCGCAATTAAACGGTTTAACTTCCCCTTCAATCGCAATTAAGCGGTTTAACTTCCCCTTCAGAATGCCTAGGGGTGTGATGATACACTCATCTCCGACCCAGTGCTGGGATGATAGGATAGGCTCCGACCCAGTGCTGGGATGATAGGATAGGCTCCGACCCAGTGCTGGGATGATAGGATAGGCTCCGACCCAGTGCTGGGATGATAAGATAGGCTCTGACAGCATGACTCCCGTAAGGATTTGCTGCCGGCATGCTTGGGTCATGTTGCCCTGTGATTTCACAGGCTGACTATGGAACTGTCCCGTTGTTCCAGGTGCTGGCAAGGAGAGGAAAGGTCAGTCTACGTCACTACTGGGCTTACAGCCCTGGTTAGCGTTCACAGACGAGAGGAAGTGTGGCTACATGGAGAAAACTGGCAGAATCAGCAGGTATTTTGGATATTGTAAACAGTATATACCGTATATATCCAAAATCAGTAATTATTAAATGTTCTGCAGTAATTAACTAAAGGCAATTGTTATTTAAAATGAACATATACTCTAACCAAACTAAGTCCTACATTACATGCTCCCTTCAAAGACAAAGAAAAAGAAAGAGAGAACATGAATAAACACCTTTCTAGAGTACATGTATATTCACACATCATTCCAAAGGATCACAAAACATAAAACTCACAGTAGAACTCCAGTCAAAACGTTTTCTTTTTTTCCTAATGCACAGCAAAGAAGTAGAGCCTCTGTTTTCGGTGTCCTCATTTGAGTTATTTTTCCAAACTTCCTGCCCCAGTAAAATGTGCTTACTAGACCAAGAAGTGTTATTTTGCACCAAAACCCTAATCCTATCTCTTAATTGTCTTCTTTGCCATTTTAAAAAGCTGGTATAAAAGGAAAACGTTGGAACTCTATCTTGCCAGAAAGGTGGAAGGTGTGAAGGGTGTATTGGAGAGAGGACAGACCGAGAATGTTTTTCATTTTAGAAGCTGTGTGCACCTGATCTACAATATCAATTTTGTCATAAAATCTCCCTCATGGGGCCCTCCTTGGAAGGTCATTGGCTGAATCTAGATATCCCTTATCCTCTATCGTCTGAACACCTGTCCACCCCAACCCCCCCGGCGAGTGTCATATATGCCTCTGTTTGGTCCTCCTGAAGAAGTGGGAAGTAATTCCACAAAACACGTCGAGGGAAATTCTGGCCTGCCATCATGTTATTACTTAATTGACATTCTGACTTTTATATGTTGGGTAATGAAAAAGTGGATTGGTGGGCCTTCAATTGAGGGGAATTTTGTATAATATCTTAATAATCTGTTTTTATACATATCTTGATAAACTATACTATTTTATATTTGCTTGGATGGATCTGTTTGCTTTTACCTCAAAAGCTCCATGTAAAACGTTTTTGAATGTATAAAGGAAAAGTAATGGATTTAAAAAAAAAAACCAAAACAAACTATTTTGGGTTTACCCAATCATTTCTCACATGTAAATTACTAATGGTCCCCATAACTGGGGGCATAGCAGAGATGTGTGTCCATTGGCTGAATACATTGGGGGGGGGGTTTATTAAAACAAAATCTGGAGCAGTTGCCCATGGCAACCAATCAGCATCCCTCTTCAGTTTGCTCAGGTAAGATTTGAAAATGAGAGAGAAAAGCTGACTGGCTGCAGTGTAAATCTGCTCCACATTTTGTCTGCCCCAGTCTATTAATTTAGTAGAGTGGGGAAGGGTTTGAACCTCCCTCCGCTTTTCTCCCATTTCCTGTCCTGGTAACATGTAGTCAACAAGACAGGAAGTGATGGGTAATCTCCCAGAGCTAGAGACACAGACAGTAATAAAAAACATTTCGTAGTCTTTGCTCTGATATGTAAAAACCCAGCTGAGGTTCAAAAAGATATATAATGTTTTATAACAACCAAAGTTGGCATTTCATTACTAACATGAACAGGAAACATGACCGTTCAGAATTTCTTTTCCAACAGCATTATTTTTTCTAAATGACGACCTGAATGATGGAACAGAAGTACTCAGAACAAGCAGTGGGATTTAGGATTCTCTATGTGGTCCAATCAGCTATAAATAGCCTCATTTCAGCAGCCAGAGGATCTCAGATTGCGTCTGGTGACAAGTGTGACACGGTCTTTTAACCTTGCGTCTGCTCTTAAACCACCTGATGTCAGGACACGGTGCCAGCGCTGCAATACAAAACACTCCGGGATCTCCTTTTAACCTTCCAGAGTCTGTAACTCTGACCCCGATCTCAAAGACAAAAGACAAGCGTAGAAGAGAATCTTCAAAGTGATTTGACATTCAGCTTTTTTTCTCTACAACTCTGACCAGGCAGCCCTATACAAAGTTAAATAAATATATGTGAACTGTTCTAGCTGAAAAAATGTGATTCTCTTCAGCCACGTTTGTGATTCATACACACAGCCACAGCCAGAAGGGAGAAACCACTTTCTCCATTAGCATGACTCAATAAGATGGCACCTTAAGACATCTGCTTTAGGCTGCCTCATTATAGGCACGGTCCTGCTTACAATGGATGCTGCCCATTGATGTTTAAAGGTTTTAGTTTCCTGCAGAACCACCTGTTTGCTGAGCACTGGCACAGATATACTGTTTTAGGGCAGCTCCTTTCCGCTTATGGAGCCACTCTTGTGTGTGAGATAGTAGCCCATGTGTGTCTCCCCCAAACCTCTGTTATTGACCTTAGTGGTGAGACAAGTTGTTTTACATACTGGTTTGTGAGTGTGCCATGATGCCTTTCTACTGTTTTACTGTTCAAAGCCCATTTCGTGTGCACCTTACTGTATAACTGGTGACAAATTGTTGAGTGCGTTTGTCATTTGTTTTGCTCCCCCAAATATACAGACACAGCAAGGCAAGTCACTCCCTTCCTTCATTCTCCATGCTAATAAATTGGCTACCGGAGACTACTCTGTCCCGCCTGATCTTGGACTCAACAGGAAGTACAGGGAAGCAGAAGTGAGAGAGATGGAGTCAGGTGTTCAAAACATAATGATTGTAAGTGGTTAGGCAAACATGTAAATGAATACATTGCTGGGCAATGTACATTTGTTTGATCTGGATTCATTATTTAAAAAAAAAGAGTGATAGCTTAATATTACTTTAAACCGTATTTAGAAACCTATTTTTTTTTTTAAATAAATTCACAACTTGTTTTTGTTTTAGAATTGAAATATAATTTACATAACCCATACAAATCCTGCTTTACTGAGTACATACACATTTCATAACGCTCTCTGTACCTGACGAAGGTTGAAGTACATTGTCTCCATCACATGCAGAGTAGCACTGGAAGCTAATGTACCTGAAAATGTTTGGGCTATGAAGAGAGTTAACGGAGCACCCAGAGACAAGCCACCCAAGCATAGGAAGAACAAATTCCATGCAGTGCAGTGTTTCTGGTGGGAAATAAACCTTGATCCTCAGGCAAGGCAAGGCAAGAACGCCACGTTGCGCCAACATGCAGTTTATCCTTAAACAATAATGACATTTAAAAGCATATGAAAAATAAAAAGGATTCAACCTGATTTGGGCAAGTGTAAATAAAATTCAATCAAAAACAAGAGAAACAATGTTTAAAAAAAAACAAAACATGATCACATTATTCATGCAGCCATCTCAGACAGTTGTATAATGCCAGGGCTCCCCAAATCAGCAGGGAGCATTGAATTTGCTGATTGAAGATTTAAAAGTCTAACTTAGGGTGCCCACACACCTTACGATTATCGTACGAAAATCGCGGGAAATCCCGCGATCGTACGATGTTCGTAAGGTGTGTGGAAGCCGTGCGACCTCTACTACTGTAAGGTCGCACGACTTTAAACTTACGGACATGTTTGAAAACCCGCCGAGCATCGTACGATGTTCGGCGGGTTTGTGGCATGTCCGTACGATAACAGCCGCACGGGCCGGTGTGCGCAAGCGCACACTGCCCGTTCGGCATTGCGGTCATCGGAAGCCCGCCCCTCAGGGGGCGTGGCTTGCGATCATCGCAAGTACGATCTGCCTATGCAACATAGGCAGATCGTACGTTTTTTTAAGTACCTTACAACCATCGCAAGACAAAAGTCTTGCGATGTTTGTAAGGTGTGTGCCCAGCCTTACCCGGGTGCTGGACCTTTGCAGAGGGACCACTGCTCCATACAGAGAGCAAGGGTCCTCCTCTATAACATGCTGGCATGGAACAGGCTTTTCTTCTCTGGCAGAAAATTATCTATATGACATTTTAAACCTTTTGTTGTAATGCACCTGGAACGTTTTTTAGCTGAGTGGAGTCCAGTTGGGCTTTTATATGGTTACGAAGAGGGACTAGATTTCAGCTTTCAAGAGTTCAGGGTATCCGCTGAAAAGAACAATAATTCATTTTTTCTTATTAGGTGTAACGGGTGGCCACTGAAGAATGAATGGACATTAATAGGTCTGTAATCGGCTCCTTTCATGGGATAAAGGGGTACAGAGTTTCATTCAATATTGAGCTTGGTAATCAGCTCATTGCCTAAATTACAACAAAACTTGCATAGAAATTATGGAAACTATAAGATCTAATAAC